CCATTCCGATAGAAAGACGTTCAAAGCCATCCCAAACAACCCAACAAACATACACGAAAAACAACTAAACAGAACTTTATTACAAATGAAAAAAAGATAATTTAATTACTGACGATCTTTATTTTTATCTACGTAAAATTGATTCACACATATCACAACTCTATGGCATTCCTTAACCACACAAACAGGACTGCTCGCTACAACCTATACTGTCTACTTATGATTCCTTCAACTACAATCATACAAATACATAGCCTGGGCTCTCACACCATATGTAACATTTGGAGGTTCATTATTTAAAGATGCCTTCAATTTCAAATATACACTAGACCAAGGTTGGCGAACCAATGGCACGCGAGAAAATTTTCTTGGCACGTGCAATTCACTGCTGTCCCGTTTGTTTTTTTTTACCCGACCAATATATATATATATATATCTGAAGGCGTGGAGATAGTATATGTCTATAATTAATTAATTATATAATATAATAATTATATATAAAATATTTATAATACATACAATTAATAATAATAACAGTAATTTTGCTGCTGAAAATTTCCATGGGCACGCGAAAGAATTTTTCCGAAAATTATCGACAATTTGGGCACGCGCTCTCATAAAGGTTCGCCAGCTCTGCACTAAACCAACTAAATTCTAAAGCCTTAATGGCTAGTTTGATGTCGTGTCATTCTTCACCGAAGTCCCCGCCAATGAAGCTTGCAATATCGCACTCGACCTCTACATTAATGACCCCGACAAGTTAATCCACATCTCCAGCACACTTTTTGCTTCTCTCTTAGAATTTACAACTAAAACCAACTTCATTTTCAACAACGAACATTTCTTTCAAATATATGGTTTAAGTATGGGCAATTCTGTTTCACTCGTTGGTTTTAGTAACAGAACTGGTATTCCATTTAACGTTTTCACAGCAACTAGCCTTTTTTATTGACTTTCAGAGTTTATCGTTTCAAGAACACTGACAGTCTCAAGGATTTTCTCTAACTAATTCCCTCATAGCGACTACACTACAGACCTTAACATGACACGTGTATAACACGGGAAGTGATACTATTACTAATATCTCTTGACAGTCGCGCTTTATCAAGGTCAAACGCACAATTGTAGTGTCTGGAAGACTTTCTGCCAAGTTCAAGGTTATATTTGATTTGGAAAATCGCGAAGGCACGCATAGAACTGGGTTAGATATAAAGTGTATGAGATGTTATCAGTTTAAAAAGGAAAACTTAGGGAAGTTACTTTCATCTACATTTCTACTAGAAAAGTATGACACAACAACTGCTTACAGGGGTTATTTTAAGGAATTTTGAGAGCTGCACAAACATAGGTTAAAATGTTTACCACATTGTAACGTCCCCCAAGAGGGCGCTGAGCATTATTTTACATTTTGTTTTTTTTTTGTCGATTTGCTTTTTCGGATGCAAAGGTCCCTCTTTGCGCATAATGAGAATATTAGTAAGACCATGCATATTCTGTTATATTAGATGTTCATGAAATTGTTATTAAAATTTAAAATAACGATGATAAAAATCTATATCATATTGTAGCGTCCATTACTATATATATATAATGTGATGTACGTTTTTAGAGTAAAGTTTGTGGTTCTGCATCTCTCCGGTATTTACATGTAAAAATTCAATTACACAAATTAACTTTCCAAACGCACAATGATATTTTAGAAGTGCATAAAATTGTCTGAGCTGGACGTTAAAATAGCATATGAATTTTGCTTAGAACCTTGGACAGCTAAATGGATAAATGTGATTAAACGAATATTGATTTGCTTATTTCAAAACCATTTGTTCCTCTTCAACTCCGCTCGTGGAATGTTAGTTCTCGTGGTTTCGGAGGAAGAAAACAAAAAGGGTGAGGGGTAAGGAGGCCGGCAACAATGAAGAACTATAATATTGAAATTTCATCCTCTTCATTTTCGTGTTTGGTGTTCGAGTGTTGCTGCTACAGGGAGACACCAGGCACAGGTAGGCGTTCTTATATGTCTGGAATATTGGTGTTCGAATGTTGCTGCTACAGGGAGACACCAGACACAGGTAGGCGTTCTTATATGTCTGGAATATTGGTGTTCGAATGTTGCTGCTACAGGGAGACACCAGACACAGGTAGGCGTTCTTATGTGTGGAATTTGCGATATTTTCTTATGTTGTATTAACTAATAATTTATTATTAAATGATTAATTGATTTGTTAACTAATTGATCGATTAATTAATTAATTAACTAATCGACGACCCTCTCAGGGTGGGCGGGAACCTGTAAGTTCTATGCCCCAAATTTAAGTGTGGAGGGAAACCGGAGAAAACCCATTTTCATAGGAGAGACACCGAATAGTCTATCTGCTCCGTGCCCAAGCTGAAGAAAGAAAGAAAATGATTAGTCTTGGCAAAAAACGTACATACATTCGGTTAGAATATTTCATAATAATATGCTAGAACATTCCAGAAGTACTTAGAATATTCCGTAACATTCTAAAATATTCAGAATACGCAGATATAGTGCCAGCTACAAGGTAAAATTTCAACTACCTTGAGCAACCCCTAAATGTTATTCAATACTGATAACATTTAGTCTGTCTCAATCTAAGAAAGCATCGCTATATATACATAAAAATTTATAGCGTCATACCTTCCTATGACAAATAGCACTACCAAATGACTGCTCGTTCCCATTCGAAAATAATGGAGGTTGTAGCTTCGAGATATTACCTTACCTACTATTGGAGGAAACTGCTGTCTACTTCCATACACAAAGGCTATACTTCCCACAGGCAGACCAAGTGTTATGTCAGAGGAATTACAGAGAACAATAGGCAGCTAGAGGAAAGTAAGGTAACGATTTTTTTGACCACATGTGTGAAGCTGTACATACCTAGAATATACGAAATTTTTGAGAAAATTCTGGAGGTACTTAATTTTTTTATAAAACAATTTCATAAAGGTTATATTGTTGAGAACATTTGATTAAACATAAGAATATGGTTTTGAAGCTAATCACAACGACTGTAATGATATTCCAGAGTCAGCTTTAGATTTTGAATAGAATAAACGTTTGAACAATAATTTTCAATTTTTTTCGTTTCTCGGTCACAAATCCCCTGGTGGGACAGCGGTAACTTTACGGACGTGCAACTCTAAAATCAAAGGTTCAATTTCCCGAGGTGGACACAGCAGATAACGCAATGTGACTTTGGTACAAAATATACAAATATACTCACACACGCACACATACACACTCAGTAAAAAAATATACACTTACATGCCACCCCCCAACCAGTTGCACAGCGGCATGTCTCCGGACTTACAACGCTAGAAACCAGGTTTCAATACCCGTGGTAGGCAGAGCACAGATAATCCATTGTGTTTAATTGCAACAAACAAACAAATTACATTACAATTATGACTACTAGTCACAATCTGAAAAAAAAATAGAACAACTTTTATTATTGATTTTAATTTGATAAAGATTGGGATTTTCAAAATGAACAGTACATGGGATAAACAGCTGGGTATAGTGATATATGAGATAACATCGAGATATAGTTTTAGGATTCAGATATAGATTGCACTAAAAGTCAATAGTTGACCAGATTAAAGGCAGCCGGCGAGAAACACTCGCCTTCATAACGGATTTGTCAGACTCTAAATCGAAAAAGGGGATTGTCTGTTACTCTTATTACACACTCCTCTCAGCTGAAGGTGTGGCACGTGGATCTTTTTAATCGCAATTCGACAAACAAACAACTAAATCATGCCCAGTGCTTTTAACTAGATAATTAGACGTTCTTGGTTTCATTTCAAACTTCAGTTTTGACTTCTTTTAACCTTTATTAGTTTATCCGATAATTCAGCTTAATAATAGAGATGAAATCCCATTTCATAATTATCCTTATTTATCTACCAGATATTCCTCGCGAAGCAAAATACAAATACATGATGATAATAAGTATTTAGGCACCAAAACAGATTAGAAATAAATGTTGAAATAACAGGTTTGTCACACACACACACACACACACAATCATACACTTAAACATTTAAGATTTAGAGATGTGTCTATGTAAAGTTCGTCATTAATCAGCAAACACTCCGCAACTCAGTTACAAAATTTTGAAGAAAAAATCGCCTAGCAACACACGAGTGTAGGTAGTGCTTCAACACGTGCCAGTAACTTTCATATCTCTACGACACTCCACGATCTTAGTGCACGGGCACCCAAGGACTGCAGTTTCTCTCTTTCTCACAGACTGCCTCTTAGTATATTATACTTAAGTCCCCCGTCAAAAAAAAGAAAAGAACAAAAAGATTCTACCGTGCCAAATATATTTTAATGTTCGTTTTTGCTTGATTCTGTTTTCTAATATTACGTGTTGAAAAGTGTTATGAAGATGACACACATTTGGAACATTTCATTCTCACACTGATTTTAATGAAACAATAAGTGTTATTGCCAAATAAACGTAATTTCTGCTAGAACTAAGGCTGAAGCGTTAAAAATAAATTACACAATATATATATATATATATAAAATACATATATCTGTCTGGGTTATTAAAAACTGTATTTAGATAATAGCAGTCTTCTCGTTGTTAGCTCCATAAATACAGTAAATATCGCTATAAGGTAGGTGGCAAACACATCTTTTAACTTATATGATATAATATTCATTTTGAATGACAAGTGTTCTTGAAATGGTTATTTTCAAGTTGTATTTGTATGTTTGTGACCTGCGCCTGAAAACTATGTATAGGAATGTGAGACCCACTTAGTAATTATGTTACTGTTTGATCCTAATAATCATATATATATCTGTCTTACAGGGAAGACAACAATAACACACAAAAATTAATTCTCTTCGAAAGACCTAAAAGTTCTTTTGGAATATAAATTTTTCTTCTATTTTGAGAATTAAAAAAAAGCAACAAAAAACAGTGGACAATCATACATTTTATAAATTACTTCAAGAAAACGTATATGTTAACAAAATTCTCTTGTAAATACAGCATGTAATTCATACTTTTATTTTAGGCACAGTTAAGAATAGTTTAGAAATATCTTCAAATTGTTTTTAAAATCAATTACATTTACTAACATTTGACACTTTAATTTTCTGTGCTTTGCATAAACATAATTACATAAAATGGAACGTGAATTCTTATAAAAATGTGTCATTGAACTCGAAAAATATTTTGTCAAACTATCATGGATAATATTTGGAACTATGTTATTTAAAGCATAATATTTATGTCTTACTAATTGGAATCAAATATTAATAGAATTACAAATTGAATATTTTATACTTATGTAAACATACTAAATCAGATAAAATGTATATGTTTCTTTTTTTCAGTTACTCAAGTTCGATAATTAGTAGACACAAACTACCATCTTATTCAGTTAAATGTGAGTTTTGAAAATACTTTAAACTATTAATTAAATGACGACAAACACGGAATACAGTTTTAGTTGACGCTTTTAAATTATTTTTATTAATGTTATTTTATTGAAAAGTTAATTTTCTGATTTAAGAATTGTACATTAACTTCTCAGCAGTCGTGGAATTAAACTAAGATGTTATTATATATGCACAATGTTTTACAGTGTTGGTGCGTCTACTTCCTCCTGATATCTTGAAGACAGATAATCTGCAAAGTCAGCGAGCTGATGTAAAATGGTATAAAGGCCCTGAAGATGATAACGGTAGGCATTTGCAAGATGCTTTGTCTCTGCATCACGTTTTGTCAATTCAGGATCGTTTGTGATATTGTCCAAGTCGCTGTCCCCCTGGCTATCGGAGTCCGAAACAGAGTTTCCACTGCGAAGCTCGGTGCTTCCTTTGGAAGAGGGCAGTGTATGTTTTATGGCTCCCGTTTCCGATCCTGAAGATGACGAAGTACTAACACAAGTGGAGGGTCCCCATAGTAGTTCGTTGTTGATGTCATGTAGCGATAAGTACAAACTAAATAAATCAGACTTGGAAATAAAAGGTGGGGGCCGTTTTTTAATGTTATCCCCTTCAGTTTCCATGTCTCGTAACCGAGATGGAATTAAAACAGTAGAGTCCATACTGCTAACAGAATTCACGAACCGATCCATTGCGCTGAGAATAGATTGCTGCGAACAGGTAAACGCGTCATCGCCAGCTTTACGTCTTTTAGGTCGATCTTGTATTCTCGACTCGCTATGTTGTGGGGCCATGGAAGGTCTAACGCTCCTTATATTATGTAACATTTTACATGTAATATACAGGAATAATCTACAACGTGAAAGCAAATCAGCCTGAACAACCGTAGACACAACTTATTTTCAACACACAATGTTCCTAACACGATACAATATCACATCTTATATAGTCTGAGGATTTTTGATAAGAACCAGTTTCTCCCTCCAAGCAACAGTAATTTCATCGTAACAAGGGACCTGCCATTACTAACCGGGTTTTGAATGGTCACTTCTTTACAGTCAGAAAAGTAATAGGATGAAAATCGATCATGCGTAGAAGTTTCTACCAATACATATCATAACAAATAACATAAGTTAGGTGAAGTTTTCCTGGCTTATAAATTAATAATTTATATAATTTGTAGACACCCCTATTTTAGAAAGTGGCAGGAGCCACTTATGTTCTTATGTCTGTTGATAATAATATGAACATTCTGATTGGACAATTTATCGCTATGGGTGTAGTCTGACGGAAAAGAAAAGCTACGAATGTGAACTAGTGATAGGAATATCAAACAATCATTTCAATAGACAATGAAGATAAATATAAGTGAACCAAACTAATAAAACATAAAGTATTTTATGAATATTACATATGAATCATGTTAAAGTTTAATTGGGCAAAGCAAACCACTAAAGCAACGTTTTAACTTAAGTCTGATGATTTATGGGAAGTTTCACAAAGAGTTAATTAGAAGTATTCTTTTGATTGAAGTATAACCTTCATTAATAAATAATCTACCTAATAGTTACGACTGAAGGCTCTTTTATATGCTAAAACATATCAACAAATCGATTTAATAGCATGACATTACGTTGATTATACTACGACGCTCTCTTCAATAAAAACTGTACTCCAATTTCATATTATTTCATGCATATTACAACTAAGGGTGAATAATAAATTAAGTGTATACATTAAATTAATGATATACTTTTTTTAAGTGCAAAGCAGTACTTAGATGCGCTATATTTGCCGCAGGAATCGAATTATGGATTCTGGCGTTATAAGCCATCTGGCTTACCGCTGAGCCAAGAACATTTAATAGCCAACTTACATTATAAAAATCTCCCTCTGGTATTTTACTTCTGGGTAAAATATACAGGCCAATCTATTAACTTTGGTCACATGGTTAAAGCAGTATAGTGTATCATAAATTCATTTTGGTCACATGGTTAAAGCGCTATAATATATCATAAACTCATCATGGTCACATGGTTAAAGCAGTATAGTGTATCATAAATTCATTTTGGTCACATGGTTAAAGCGCTATAATCTGTCATAAATTCATTTTGGTCATACGGTTAAAGCAAAGCGCTATAATCTATCCTAAACTCATCTTGGTCACATGATTAAAGCGCTATAATCTATCATAAATTCATCTTGGTCATACGGTTAAAGCGCTATAAAAAGAGTGAGAACTGTATTAAGTATTTTATACAGTACAGCAAACACAAACTGATCAAAATCACATTTTATGTTTGATTTACATCTCAACTTGATATAATTGCAATATCCTTTATAATTTAAGAGAACTGTTTCACAAAAGTAATGTTTAAACCCTCTCTGATAACTAGAAATTATTGAAATATTGTGTTGCTAAATATTCTTTTTCCGATAAAAATATTAAAATATGCTTGTAATGAATACTTAAATGTAACGTGTCTGAATTCATGTCTTTCCATATACTGTCTAAAGTCTTTTTGAAGGAATAATCTGTCTTATAAAGAAATAAACAAAAGTTCTGTGAAATCTCCTTGTGAAGTGCTGCAAACGTTTTTATGTTAAACATTGTGGAGTTAGCAAGTTTCAAGGAAAGTTTACATATATTAAATGCCGCGTCAGCAGTCAAGGAAAAATTTGTATGTCACGTATTGCTTAGAGTATTATATTTTTTTTACTTTTTCCTGAAGTTAAAATTTTCCTTGTGAGATAAAAGTATGTTAAAACATTTTAAATAAGCAGACGCCGAAAAACAAGTAATATATTATTCTTTTTTTGTTTTGTATACATTGTCTTTTCATAATTACTATATATATATATATATA